AAACATATTTGCTAAGTGCCGTTGCGTGTAAGATGTTCTAAAAAAGAACCATCTTCACAGAAGGAGATTAACATTTGGCTTTAAGTAATTTTCCTGTGCCCAAAGTGCAATCATAAAAAACGAAAGCATGAGTATATTGAATAATTCCATATCAGCCTATAGTTTAAAATGTTTGACAGGTACTAAAAAAACTTGAACTTAATTGTAATTACTTGTATGGATATGCAATGCATTTTTTCAGCTACTTTTATTTTATTTTTATGTGCAAACTGAAGCTCTTTAAAGAGTTTTGATAGTTAATTCTGATAACAGTTTTCATGAACTATAAATATTCTGGTGTTTGTTGCATATTGAAGAGCTTTGCTGCAAATTTAAATAAAGTTTAATTAAAATATAAATGGAACCTACACGTTGCATCAGATACAGCAAGTATAATTACACAGTTTTTGCAAACACACTCTTTTTTTGTAAATGTTGCATCACCCAACATGTTTGAATAAGTATCATACTTTAGGAAGAGTAATCACATTAAGTCACTTTGTTTATTCAGATATTAATTAGTATTGATTAATGTTAAAGAAATGTATTCACAAGCATGTGCAGTAATCAAAAATTACAGGACCCAACAGTTTAAACATGAATACTGCTAATTTTCTTTTAATAAACAATGTGGGGGGGCTGGGGGGGGGCTGTAACTGCAGAAAATCCCGCTTTACAAAGATAGGATGTTATAGATAGGATGAGTCTTAAACTGAATTAACCTGTGTCAAGAGGCACAGATGCACCGACTGATGTAATTGAGAGAGAATCCTGCAATTTTTTATGTTTTTCAAAATAATAAATAATAATAATAAATAAAACATCACTCAGACTCTGATCGTCGATAAATTATATATATATATATATATATATATATATATATATATATATATATATATATATATATATATATATATATATGTATATATTATTTTTGTTGTGCGGCCCGGTACCAAATGACCCACGGACCCGTACCGGTCCGCGGCCCGGTGGTTGGGGACCGCTGCTTTAAGAGACCATTTAAAATACCAGCAGTGTCAAATTTCAAATACTGAGGCTATTCATTTTCTGAAACATAAAGTAGATAAATCAAGCTATCCAGAAGAAGCCAGATTCAGGTCCAAAAAAAATGATGTGCTGAAGAGGTTATAATATTATAAGAACCCCCCCCCCCAGCAATTTCTATGATTTAAGCTAAAAAGAAAGCAAGATTGATCTTTTTGGCTCTAGATAGTTTGCAGATTATTTCCTAAGATTGAATCTGAATCACAGTAATCAGAGTACATGATGCAATGGGGGTGTTTTGCTTTTAGAGTTAGGCCCATATATTGCATAGAATGCTTCTTGGTCTGTACAGTAATACCTGCACAGCAGATGAAAAACATTGTATTAGGCATTTGTCTTACTGTTTATTAATGTAATTTAACCGTTATACCATTCTTCTCTTAAACAATTAGACTTTTAAATTGTGGTTCACTTTTATCTTTTTAAGATACATTTTTCCTGTATGGGATATCCGCTCCACTCTGAATACTACATAATTGCATATCATGCTGTTGTTATTGTATGTTTTTAATATCCGACATGCTCATAAAATTCTTGTAAAGCTTGCGTTTGTTTACTCTAAAATGATCTTTTTACAAATGTATTCATGACAGTTGCATGTGTCCATGTGGAGCAACTTCTCACTGAAGCAAATCCCCCATATGTGTAAAACAATACTTGGCAATAAAGGTTTATATGATTCTTTCTTTGTGTTTGTGGTCTAAACATTTACCTTTCTCTATATTTCAGTTTAATCTTATTTTAACGTGCTGAGCCTTTAGCTGTGTTCCTGTCTCACCCTGCAGAGGGAGGGAGAGAGCGACAGAGACAAAGAGATTATGGACAACTGGGGATCATTATGTGCGATAATGTTAGTGGTGACAGCTTGATTGCTTTTATTGCTGGCCTTCTCTTGGCATTCAAAGCAAGGTAATTTCAAAAAACTGAAATAAACCCCAGCTAACCACTGTGCATACACTGATTTTTAATGTTTGGCTGGCTGTTGGGCAAGCTTACATTAGTTCTAATGGGAGGGGGACAAATAAGTTTGAGACTTTCCTTTTCCTGTCCTCAAGTTACAGGTTCTGTTTGGTATTAAAAAAACAAAGGAGAGCATGAATATAAAAGGACGGGTGAAAATACAGCCAACATGGTTTGTGTATAAAACAAATGTTGGTCTATACACATGCCACTTTGGATACCATTAGATGTGCTTTGGTAGAATTTAGCTGTTTTCAGTGAACTAAACATGAGCTATGTCATAAGAAGAATATACTAGCAGATTGCATAAAATGTGGCTAACAAACCAATTTCTCATCTGATTTTTTTTTTTTTTTACAACTGATAGAAGATGAATTAGGATAGATACACCCTAGACCCCCTTTTTGTCTTGTGAGAGTATATGCAGAAGAAATGTACTTTTGTGTATTCACATTCCAGTGTACAGTATGTACCATTATGGATCACTGACCCATGTTTCCTTGTAAGCAACTCCCTACATGTGACTCCCTGGTTGTTGACATTCCCCTTTTGGTGAAATAGAGATAGGAGTGGTGATATCCAGATGGGCTTGCATCTCTTCCCATATTAAAATCAATACAGAAGGAGGAACAAAATGGTGCTTTGTGGAAAGCCTGCTCTTGTGGGCATTTCTGATTCTGCACAATTTGCCCACATGAAGAAACCAATCAACAAATTCACACACCTGTATTTCCACCCAATTAATTTGAACTCCAACACCCATGAACACAATTTAAAATAAGAATGTATGATTTTCAGGGTATGACTGCTTTTGGACAATTCTCTTCAGACACACAACAGGCAAATCAAACCTCACAGAAGCCAATTTCACTTACAACTTTTTAATTAGGCAAAATGCAGATTGATACTGTGTAGAATTCAAATTGAACTGCAAATAATGATCTGAGAAGGCTTCTGTAGGAGGTGTATGCAAAAGAAAAGAACACTTAGAGCAAGTGTTCAAACTAACAAGTGTACAATTCTTCAAACTAATTGGGTACCTGCCTCCCATGTCAACTTTTTAACCAATCACAGCAGTAGCAGCTTAATTTGTTTCACAATAACTGATGAATTAAAGTCTTAGCAAATTCGCCGGGTTGGGGAGGGACACAGAACCAACTTCCCTTCCACAATGGCAAAAATCTAATTTTTGCTCATTTTTCAAAAACGAAATATAGGCTTTTCCAGTTAGACCCGCTGCAGCCGTGTCAGTTTGCTTCTGCCTTCTCCCTCTGGTCGATGCGTTACTGTCATACTAGCAAATGCATTTGATTTCTCCAAAACACTTTTGTATCAAGGCCAAAAGTATCTGCTGGCTGCTGGCAATATGTATTTTTGGGAGATTTTGAATTCACAAATTCTTAACCAGCCTCAAATCTTGCCAAACCTCTAGAGATACACACATCAATGAATTCATGTTTGTATGGTTCTATCAAAGGCTCTGTGTGCAGATTAGAATCCTGTGTTGTTCAGCAAAGGGTAGAAAAAAAACTGTTTAATTTAGCAGGTATGGGAAAATGTATAAATTATCAAAGACGGTGGAGGTTGCTCGCTGTTACTCACAATTCTGGATAGGATTTTAAGTGAGGATAATTTTGGATAAATTTGGCCGAGACTCGGGTCTGAGCTCTGTGTATACAGGTTCTGGTGCCGGACTCTGGTGCAGACCAAGACAGAACAGGACTGCTCACTGGGATGCAGCATAATGAAGAGAGAATAGGATGTTATCGCATATTGCTTGCTGGATTATCCTCTACCGTTGACCACAGATTTCGGACCAAGACAAACTTTGATTTGAGATTGTGGGGTTATCGATATTTTGGAGCCTCTTGAGTGAAAAGTGAAGATCTGTGCAGAAGTAAGCGCAATTATCTTGCTGTGTGAATTTCTCCTTTAGAAGGACCATTAATCTGCTCACCCCCCATAAATAAACAGATAAGACTGAGTACACAACAGCAAATAATGCTCTTTTTATATCTAACATGTCATCTTCTACACACACAGTCTCAGGATCCTTTCGTTTCATTGAAGAAATACCTACCATTTTATCATTCAAACAAGATTATGTTTCAAAGGTGAAAAAACCCATCTATTCTTTTTTTCTAGATAAAGTAAAAAAAAATATTGCTTAGTTCCATAAAATGTATAATTGTTGCACATGTTTCTTTATTAACAAAATTCCATTCACTGCTCTTTTGCTCTTTGACAAAAACGCAGGGGTTTCACAAACGTTTTTATATAATTTCTAAAATTTGTTCCTATTTTTTTTCTGCCTTTCTCCATCTGTCTTTTCCTGGGACACAGATGATAATCTATTGTGTTTCACCACATTGATATGTCTAGGGAAACATCAAAAGATCCATTGGTCCATGATAATCATTGTTATTAATTATGCGCCTGAGAAAAGGAGAAATATTTCTCACACTAAAAAAAACTCAAAGCAGTTTGGTGTGTTAATGTACGAAACAGCCAAGCATAATGTTTTTAAGGAAAGGTCTCTGAGGAATGATGAACAATTAAACACAGAAAGTTAGGATTTCTATACAGCATACCTCAGACATATTGGGGCTTAGCATTCTGTCATGAGATAAGCAACTGCTTCCAAATCCCATTTAAATTCTGCTTTGAGACATCTTTTAAATGTACCCTTATGGTGCTGAAGCTTTATCTTCAAATTTTTTTTCTTTAGTATTAAGTCATTGCGGTTTTGTGGTTGTTGGTAGAGGTAAAAAATGAGTACAAATAAATTTGTGTCACAGAAGAAAATCCCTTTTTATTTATTTATTTATTAAATTCACAGATTGAATTAGGTTTTATAGCTCACTGCTACCATCTGGTGGTAAAATATCTCTAAAGCCACTTTTTTTTTTTTCTTTTTTTTTTTTTCAAGTTGTATTCTATTGTTTGCTGGAGGAAACTTTTAACATCATGTTTTTCCTGGTGTTCTTCTCTGGTCTGAGTAGGATCATATAACACTTTGGGGCAAAGATGCAACCCAAAAGTCCATAACTGGAGGCCAGGATGGCAAACACTTCTGTGACTGTTGCATACTTCCCCGGAGAGCTGATGTAGGCAGGAATAAATGCTATCCACACGGCACAAAATATCAGCATGCTGAAAGTGATGAGTCTAGCCTCATTAAAGCTGTCAGGAAGTTTTCTGGCCAAGAAAGCCAAGAGAAGACAGATGAATGCCAGGAGTCCAAGGTAGCTCAGGACCAAAGCGAATGCAATGTATGAGCCTTCATCGCATAATAGAATGACAAAGGCTTTCTCTCGTGACATCAGTTCACGTGGGGCAGGGGGGGCAACAAGCAGCCACACTGTGCAAATGATGACCTGTAGGAAAAAAAGATTTCTTACTCAAACATTTTACAAATAGTTTTCAGAAAATTGCTTTGAAAAATAAAAAAGCCTTTACCTGTGCTAGGGTACAAATCAAGACGATAGCCTTTTGTGGTGCAGGCCCAAACCATTTACCAATATTACTGCCTGGAAGTGTAGCCTTGAAGGCTATTAGCACCACTATTGTTTTTCCAAGAATGCAGGAGATACAGAGCACAAAGCTGATCCCAAATGCTGTGTGGCGCAGCATGCAGGACCACTTGGATGGCTGGCCAATAAAGGTCAGAGAGCACAAGAAGCATAGTGTCAAGGAGAAGAGCAGCAGGAAGCTTAGCTCAGAGTTGTTAGCTCTGACTATAGGTGTCGTTCTATGGCAGAAAAATATAAGAACCACACTACAGGTGCTTACTGAGCCAAATAAAGAAATCACAACTAGGGTGATGCCCATAGTGTCTGTAAAGGAGAGGAACTCCACATTTTTGGGTATGCAGGTGGTCCTTTTGGAATTGGACCAATACTGTGGTGGGCATGGTGTACACTCTATAGCATCTACAGGAAAGATAAAAATGCTTTAGCTGTAATACCACAACATTTTCTGTATGTGTCTCAGGTTTCTCAGACAAATTGTTACTCTGTGAAAGAGTTATTAAAAGAATTTTAACAGATACATCATTTGTCATTCCAACACAATCATTGAGTAGTAAGCAGATGGGACTGTTTGAAAAATAGACTTCCATATTGACAGGTTGATGCTGACCCAAACTACTAAGAGGCCGAGGCAGGCATGTCATGAGGATATGTTTTAATTATTACACTGAAAATCTAACAGACTTGACTGGGGGCCATTGTGCAAGCAATGGATGCAACAATAACGAAACAGAACCAGAAGCTTAAATACAGCAGACTGATGAAATAAGCCACATGAAAACCAGGAGAGTACAATCAACAGCTTGGAAGGTAGCTGGGTGAGAATTAAGCAGAAAAATATGGATATTACATTATCAAAAGAAACCCAAACCAAAAACCTGGACCCATATTTCATAAAATTCTTAGCTTTAGTCCTATGCTCATTCTCAAGAGTGGACTTCGCGAGAAAAAGATTTCTAAATTAAAAGCTGGACTAAAAAGTTATTTATCAAGTGTCACACTCACTTTTAGCAAAGTGTATGATGAAATCTAAAGTATTAGAGTCACGGAAGTAACTGGAATTTTAGATTATATCACTATATCATTGAATTGACCAATCACTGAATGGAACTGTTTATTGATGGCTGTGATGGCCCAGCATTATGTCCAAATTTTGCACAAGCTCTGGAATCAGAGCGATCTGAGAAGTTTTACCAGTTATATGCAGGACTATTAGAAAAGTTAAAGCAACTTGACCACAGTTTGATCCACCGTTTGACCTAGCATCCAAATAGCTGCGTCTAAGTGTTTTTAAAACGAAGTACCTCTGGTGTGAATGCAGTATAATACTTAAAAAGGTTGATAAATAGCTTTTACTCTTAAGTCTGACAGGAGTTTATTATCCAAATTCACTCAGCACTTAGGAGAAAAGACAGCACTCTAAAGGGGTTTGATAAATACGGCCCCTGATGATCATGGCACTGACTGTTCAGAGTGCGCTGTATGCACTGCATACTAAAGGACAGCTGAATGAAGGAAAATGGTGTCGGAGAATTTATGCACACTATTAACAGTGAGCCTTATGAAGTAAAACAGACATTGGAAAAGATTGACAAGCCTTGGATTGCAGCTGAAGTCAGAGAAATTATCACATTTATTATGTTAAGCAACTCCCTAATCAGAAACAATTGGAAAAGAGTCAAGATATAGTAGTCACCAAACAGACTTATTCCATAATCCAGCACAGGGCTTACTTTGTGTGTTATGGAGTACATGATGCAAAAAGCCTTTAAAAGAAAATGACTGAAAAAATGTGAACTTACAGCCACTGTCATTCAATCAGGATCATTTGCATAGATCAGTGCTTTTTCACAGCTGTGTGGTAACATAGTGTCTGGTAACTAAAGCTGATCAGAGATCTTTGCTGTAATCCATGATCATAAAATGAATATGAAATATTTTTTTTAAATATATCAATCACTTTGTATGTATGGAAGTACTGTGTTTTATGTTGGAATTATAAGTTATCTTCTTAAATATATATTGAAATGCATCTGGATGGTAGGTAAAAGTATTTAGCACAGTGGGCTTGATAGTTAATGTCTTACCAGAGATATTGCTGATATCCCCAGGCATACAAGCCACACAGTCATAGCAGCAGACTGGAAAGTTAGGTCTCATTGCCTTTCGTGTGCCTGGAGGGCAAATAGTGCTGCATATTGACAAGGGAACCTGCACAAAAACCAAATTAAAGATAAAGTCATAAGCAGTTGAAACTGTTAGCAAAACACACATACAGTTTGAGTGATTTACCCTGGTTGTGTTGCCATTCCAAAAAATTATTTCATCATGGATATGGAGTTTTTGTTTATCGCTTGTGGCCATACCATCAAATTTGCCAATGTTAACAAACATAATTTCCTCATCTGTATTCATTTGCCAGTTTACCAGATCATACACAGCTGTTGGGTCACCATTGTCATCAAATGTGATTTCATCTTCAAATGAATTCAAGTATTGCACATGCTTTAGGTAATGAAGTAGCTAAAGAAAACAAAAAGGTGTATATTCATAGATAAAGCAAATGGAGGAATAGTAAACTGCAGTGGGTAGTTTAGACATCTAACAGTACCTGCCAAGGTTGGATTTTGTCTGCATCTGCACATGACTTCTGAAAAAAAGGTCCCTCTCCTTTCACACAGCTTTTCAAAGCCTTCAGAGCAGAAGCAACGGCATACACGGCTTTGTATACATTGTAGGAAATTCTTAGCTGTGACACATCTGAATAGATATTTGTCACGCTCCTGAGGTCTTCTTTCCCAGAACATGGGGGCTTGCTTTCTGCTTCATGTTCCTGATATTCAGTTTGTGCACCAAGGCTACACTGAAACACTTCTTCCCAGAAGGACACAAGCAGAGGATTTTTGTGGGCATCCAGTTTTGATAGATGAACGCTTAGCAGAAAGTCTTGCAATCCAGGAATGTCTGCTCGCTGAATAGCAAAGCCAACTGTACCCTGGAGAATGTGGTGATACTTTCTGGAGTTGGAAAGGACAGCTGCTGTGCTCCAAGCTTCACTGGCTAACCACTGTATCCCAGTAAGATCACTTCTTAATTTAATGGGAATAAAGAATAAAGCACTGAAATTCTGTGTATGAATGGTTCTCATGCAAGTAAAAAGTAAAGTATAATACCTCTGTACTTCATCAAACAATGCTGCTGCATCTTGTTCCACAGCAAACAGGAGAATCACCTTTGCCCTGGACAAGCGGATTCTGGAAATGATGTGTAAAATTTTTGTCTGCTGTCTGTTCTTAGGGATAATTTCATAAAAGGCGATACAAACACCAAACTTTGTGACCTGGAAGAAAAAAAACAACAAAACAAATTAAAACAACAGGTTCATGGTACTTTATACTTTAATTATATTTTGTATACAGAAATCATGCTTTATTTCTATTTTTTCTACATGAATGTTTGACCCACCTCATTTGCAAAAATGTTTGCCCCATTCCGACCATAGGCATCATCCCCTGCTATCACACCAACCCACGTCCAGCCAAAGTGCTTAACAAGTTGAACCAAAGCCTCTACCTAAGCAGCATTGGATGAAGAAATTAGAGATGTGTCAATTTAATTTTCAAAGGGGAATAAAAGTTTCTATTTTTCTGCTCAATGTTTCTTTGTCATTCTCACTAACCTGGAAAAAGTCACTAGGCATGGTCCGTAAAAAGGCAGGAAACTCATTTTTGTCACTCAGACAGGCACAGCTGGAGAAATAACTGATCTGTAAATTGACAAAAACTCAAAATAAATGGAAAGCTACAATTACAATATTGACAGTGTACAGTAATGTTCTATGTTGTGACAGGAAGGACGTTTCTTAAAACATTAAGAAGTAAACAAAAAAGTGGCATGCATTTGCAATAAAGTCATTCTAATCTGATAACAGTGATTACATTCAGTGTAGCAAATAGCTTTTAGAAGTTTGTCATATATTATATCTCATTATATATACAGCTTTTCTTAAAAGTACTTGCTTTCAGAATATAAAAGCAAATATCATCAATAAGACCAAATTGTTCACCAGAAATGTGAAAAGTGTAAAATATGGTTTGATTAAATAACAGTAATCAAACCAAAAGAGACTGACACAATTCCTGCCCATTTGGTCAAGTAACAAGCACAGTCTGGTAGGTATATTTTGATTCTTTTTTTTACATGATAGAAAAAACAAAGAAAAAAAAAAACTGTTACTGGAAAACTGAAATAGCAAATCACCCTGAATTCCACATTGAATCATGGAGGCAAGTTTTTCAGATTTTGATTTGTAAAGAAATTTGGAAAATGTGTAATTTTCTTCCTTCACATTACAATTATGACTAGCTCTTTTGGTACTTCAGATAAAATTCCAATCCAAATTAGTACTTTGCAGAGCCATAGTCACATGTACTTACTTGTGGTACAGTGAAGACTCCCAGGAAATGAGCAACAACAAGAGACTGAGTGGAGCCTCCATCTCCTATCACTACTGGCACGCTTTCTTTACAAATGCTATTACTCAGAATCTTTTGTTCAAACTCTGAGTTATTCTCATTCCCTGTTAACTCTATTGCAGCTTTTAATGCTTGATGAGGTGTACTGCAGGAATCATAGATCTTGTATCCAATTGTCATGTTTGGAAGGAGTTTACCCTCCTTGTTGATCTCTTCAATTGCAAAGATCATAGTTTGCATCCAGCGGAATGTTCGAAAATTAAATCTGTTTAAAACAGTAACGATTTGTGAAAGTTTCATAAAAAACATATACCATATGTGATCAGATGTAGTAATATTTTACATGTACAAGTCAGAGGCATCTTACTGTACCTGGTGCATTTAATCTTAGGAGGCTGTGAGGTGAAAGACAGACTCTGTTCCTCCACCATGTCTCGAAGGGAGAAGAGTCCCCCCAAGATGATGTCCCCCTTTTTCTCCAGCACTGACATACTGTTGGGTATCATTTCACATCGCAGGTGTGGATCCTGGTTGAAATTGCAAGGAAATAACACATTCCATAAAAAACATAAAAGCAAAAAACAAGTCCTTTTCATAGGAATAAGTGAAGCCAGTTCCATCCAGAACAGCTTCATCCTACCGCATAGTTCACAGTCCAAACTTCTAATTATAGGTTGGATTCCAAAAGCAGATAGATGTCAAATCAAAAGAGTAAGAATCAGTTATCAACCCAAGAATTTGGTAATTCAAACAGCTCTAGAGTTCTTTATCTTCACTGCTCTAAAGAAGCTGTGAGGCATACATATCCAACCTCTAGTGTCATGTAAGAGATTCTGCCCTTTAGCATATATAATATTTTATTAATCAAGATCTAACTGTGTGAAAGATTTAATTTCCCCTTTGGCTTCTGTTCGGTGGAAAATAATCCCCAGTTTCACATCAGGTAACAACAAAACAGAGCTGGAGCACCTGGAACATATGGGAAATGGATTTGAGAGAGTTATGCTTGAGTAAGATTTAATCATCCTTCATTAATGCGAGTAGACAAATGTCTCTGGAACTGTTAAATCACATTAGATATACTTTTTGCCTTTGAGGTGCACTCAGTGTGACTGTTTTCAGGGGGCTTTTCTTACCTAGAAGTTGTTTTTAATACAAATATATTGCATTCTTAAACATACTTGTTATTAGAATATATATCCACATTGATAAAAGGGAGAAAAAATAAATTGGATAATTAAAAGCTGTAAAAATCAGTGCTTAAATACAATAAATAAAATTTCAGGTTTTGTGATAAAAAAAAGTGAGATAAGTATAAAAACATAGTTGTATAGCAATCAGAATGTTGATAAAAAAGATCTCAGAAGGACAGAAGGTTGATGGACAGAAGGTAGACAGACAGACAGACAGACAGACAGACAGACAGACAGACAAATAAAAATAAAGAGCAAAAGTTACATATTTGATATACGTGCCAACGATTGCCTGTGTTCTCCATATTTCTTAACAAAGGAGAATAATAATAATAAAAAAAAAAAGAACGAAAAATAAACTTAAGCATTGTGTTTTAAAGATATTCAGGCCTGAATTCTCTTGGAAGAATTCTTATGATCTCAGAGAATCAAGCTAAAATCTTTCGGTACAATTTCAAAAGATAAAAAAAAAAAAAATAATTACATTACACCTACAGTGATATTCAATGATGACAGCATAATGCTCTTAGGTTAGTTGTTTCCTTTATACAAATTTTCACCCAAGTGTTTTTAAAAAAGCTAAACATTAAGAGACTGGCGTCTTTCAATCCAAGCATGTCCAAGATTCATTCAATCCATCCATCCAACCTTCCATCCATCCGTCCATGGAAAGTTCACTAGTCAAAGCGGGGTTCACCTGATGAGCTTTTTTTTTTTAAGGCCAAACAATTCTCCATTTTTTAAGATAAAAAAAACACACTTTTGCAAGGCAGGGTGTTAACAAGATATGTGAGACTTTACTGCAGCCAGATATATCAAGATATTGAATAAAACGGGCTTTAACACCGTTTTACACTGTCTACATTTATGTACACACTTCTTAGAAATGCTTGACAGGATATTTTATATGTGCTTGTAGAGTTGAAATATACTCATTTGGTTTACATGGTTTTCATATGTTGTATTTCATTCTCTGTAGACTATGTTTTAATTTATCATTTGGGAAGTAATTAAATGATGGCACAAATCCTTTCCAACATCAACACTGCAGGCTACAAAACACAGCACCATAGAGTATGAAGGAAACAAAATATTACATGCGACTTGTTGTGTTGCCTCTGGCATGTAGGTGTGCTTGCAATTCTAATATGTCCCTGTGTGACAAAAATGAACTGCTTTAAGACAATATACATTAGGTCCTTTAGAATCCAATCTGAAAGTCTAATTTTCTCTCAGGGGACACAGTCACATTTGTTACTGAAACAATTAGTTAAGATTTTTTTCAGCGTTGTTAAGTTAAACAGTACTGTGTTTTAAAGTGAATAAACCCAATGAGAGTAGGGTAGTCGAATGCCTTATTTTTGTCTAAAAAATATAATACTATAAATATATGGAATTAGACCTGAAAATAGTACTTTTTTTTACAGTTCGGAAATTAGTAGGTTAAAAAGTTTATCAAATGAAAAACGCACAATATTTGGAGTTAAATGGTAATAATTAAACAATATAACTTAGTGCACTATTATTTGACACCTATTTCTCTGGAAATTGTTTAATTTACTATATATATATATATATATA